GGAATTGGATGGTCAGTTTTCCAATGGAGCAACTATGACCAATTTCTACTTTTTACTAGTACCGCTGCATATCAGAACACCTGCATTTTATATGGAAATCTCTTGTAAATTGTACGATTTGAATCAATTTACAAGGGAGCCGTCCCTCACTTTACTTGAACTTGCAAAAAAATCCCAAAGTCAAGAATATATCATCCTAGATGAGTATTAAAACAACCAGGGTAAAAGAAAAGCAGGGTACAGAACCTGACACCTTAACTCAGATTAAAAATCAAAATTTTGACACACAAACTCCCAAATTTCACAACTTTCCAGATTTTAATGAATACGGCCTGGGATAACTGATACCTTGATCTTTGTATTAACAATCCAAACAACATAATTCTAGCATAACTAGTAGAGTAAATTAACTTATCCCAAGAAAATGCATAACTAGTACTATGTGACCAAACGGCCCTAATATAGTGGGAATTTCAGCTGATCGACTTCTTCCTCACGCCTTAACCATTCAGCCAGGACCATAGTAGGAGCTGGTAGCCACACAAAAAAAGTTGATTCATGTGATACTCTTTCCTTTAGTTGGTCCATAAAAAACATATTCTATATTTAGAAACAATTAACTTTAAACTTCTAATTTTGCCGTTTATAACTACATAAATGTTTATGACTTGTTTTAGACTACAAATTTCAAATTCTTTCTTTTTTATATTAAACTTCATAAGCAATCAAACACCATTACATAACTGTTTTCAGAGAAAAAAAGAAAGAGCTGTATGATTGAGAATGTAATGTACCATCCAATAAGATATCCAAACGCAGCGAAGAAAGTGATGATCCCGCAGTAACGGCGAGAGACAACCATAGAAACATAACCCAGAAGCATAGGCCCAAAGAAGTGAAGATTTGAGGAGAAACCAAATGACAGGTACGAGAGAACAGCGCCGGTAACGGCGGCGTAAAGGTGCCTACAGACGGCGCTAGGGACAAAACGGTGGAGGAAGCTCACCGGAATGGTGGCGACAAAGCAAAGCAAGAAACGGAGCACCGGCACTGATACTCCGATCGCTGACGCCATTGATTCCATCTCCGGCAGCCCCATATTGGATCAATTGGGTCGGGTTGACTCCGAATCAGGTTTGTTCAATCAGTACACCTGGACAAGTTATTCTGAATCTTGGATTTCAGGACCAGTGACCATGAAAATGAAAGAGAAATTGGACAAACTAAAAAGAGACAACGAACCAATTAAATAAAAAAGAATTAGTTAGGAAAGAGAAATAGATCGTATAGTGTGAGATTACGTGGAACGACATTTTTGTTTGCAACTACCTGATATAAATGTATGCACACGCATTAAGAGGAACTTTATTTTACCCAATATTAACTCATTCACAGAAATATTTATTTTCATAATATAGACTCTTCTAAAAAGGGAAAATTTTGATATCCCTACTTTTCAATTTTATAACTCATATTTCAATTTACAACCAACTAGCCCAAAAATAATAGGCTAAGATTCAACATCCAACTCCAATAGGTTCTCAAAATTACTATTTAATTTTTAAAAAAGATTGTTCAAGCTTTTAAGTTAATTTTCGAAGCAGTAACTGTAACTCAAATATTAGTTCAACAAACCAAATCCATTTGAGTGATGAAAATTAGATTTTTAACAAGCTTTAATATGTGGGTTTAGATTCCGAATTTAATTTTGTGAGAAATTTGGAGTGGGTATTATCTAGAATTGTTAGAAATAGTATAAGGAGATTGTATATCAAATTTGAAGTCATTTAGTGAAAATTTGGACTGATTTTGAACAAAAATTGTAACTAAAAATCATGGAAGAAGTTCGTCTACATATGTTTGTATAAAGGTGTATGAAAGTGTATAATAGTGTATAAGATGTGTTTATACACTCATATACACTATTATACAAGATTATACATAATTATTAAAAAAAAAAACTGGCTTCATCTTCTTCCTTGCGTTTTTTTCTGAAATTTAACTCGAATCTTACTCAAATCTACTCCAAATCATTTCAAATTTAAATTTTGAACTCCTTTTGATATTTTCAATCAATTGGAACAACACCCAATCCAAACAACTAACAAACTCAAAAAAACTTATTTTTGAAAGCAAAAGCTTTGAATGGCTTTCAATGGTGGAATGATGAATCTTCAATTTTCTTAAATTGCAACCAGGTGACACAGGGGAGAAGCAGTAATGACAGACGGCCCTCTTGAAGCATATGTAGAAGATGTGAGAAGAAAAGAGAGTGAAAACAATGGTTGTGAGAACATAGATTTAACTTCATAGCTTTTAGAAGCAATGGTTGTAAGAAAACAGATTTTGAATTTGCTAGTGCTTTTAAAATATGTACAATATGGGCTAGGTCGAGTAAAACTTAAAAATATGAACCATTTTTTGTTATAGTGTGAAGTCAAGTGTATTTTCTTGTAATTCTTCTTCTAAAAATATTGAATTTAAAATATTGCTCAAGTGATAGATCAAGTGAATAAGTTATGGTTTCAGTGGAATTTAATAATTTTGTGTTTACGAGTTATGATTTAAAAAAAAAAAACACAAAAAATATAAATAATAAATTTTGAACACAATAAATTAGATGAGTTGTGTTTAAAATTCTAAATTCGTAATCATAAATTTTAAATCTCGAATTCATCTACCGTGAGAATGCACCAAACGGTCAATTAGAATATTTCTTTGGCAATCAATTCAAACAAATTATTTTCCCGATGTTAGTACTTCTCTCTTCTTCTTCCTCTTCTTTTTCGTTTTTTTTTTTTTTTGTAATTCACATCGATTAGTTTTTTTTTCCGATATTATGTCCGGGGTCAGTTGTACAGTACTGATGTTGGATTCATCTGGAACTATAACTTTCGAGCCTGAACATAAATTTATGTATAATCATTCATTAAAGTTGTAACAAATGGTAGATCTGAACGCATAAGTTTAAAAATATAATAAGTACAATTCTAATAATCTTAAATGTTAGACCCCATAAAATTTAGTCCTAAATCTGGCTCTGATTACGACTATCACCCAACCTAATAAGCTTCCCAACTATTAGCCAAACTTGATCAGTCGTAAGTGGTACCAACTAGTAACTACCATTTACAGTTTCTTTTCGAGCTTATAAAATTTATTAGTAGTCTCTAAATAAGTATTTCGTATAGTTTAAAATCAAGCAGATTTTATTGGTGAACATGACTGTTGATGTTTGGATTGAGTTGTTGAACTGCTAAACTTAATATTTTATGCAGCAATTAAAAATATAAAAAAAAAAAAAAAAAAAAAACTTAAGGCCCATAAATGTAGAATAAAGGTAAAAATAACACGGTATAGCCAGTTTTTGGATTGGTCATTCAAAAATAGCTAGCGTTTACGAAGTCAATGAAAAATAGCCATTATTTTGCTGCAACAGAGACCGGTCCAGCATAATATACTGTAGTTCGGTGCACTTGTGTATGAACTCTAGCATATTATGCTGGACCGGTATACTTTGCTGACTCCAGTATAATATACTGGAGACTGGAGCACCGGTGCTCCAAACTCTAGTATATTATACTGGACAATTATACTTGCTAGAACTCCAGTATATTATGCTGGAGTTCTAGTGTACTTATGCTAGAACTCTATCATATTATGCTGGAGTTCCAGCATACTTATTCTGGAATTCCAGTATAATATACTGGAACTCTAGTATAATATACTGGTGTATTTTTCGGGTTTTGAATAGTATTTTCGCTCAGATTTATCTTTACATGAAAAGTGAGTAAATTTCGATTACTTTTGAAACTGAGCTATTTTTGAACGACCAGTTATAAATCTGGCTATTTTTGAATTTCTCCCAGAATAAAGGCTAAAGCCATCACTCTCTCCTTATTTATCTTTTTAATTGTTTCTTTCTGATGAAGAATTCATTTTATTACCTAAAAATATGATAATATGAAATTAGGGGTGAAGAAAATTAGTTCTTTGTATTCATATATTGCGCTTTTGGTCCTTGAAGAAAAAACGAATATTGTGTGAACTATATCAAATTAGGGGTGACGAAAAAATCTTCTAAATTTAAAAACGAATAAATGCATGAAATAAATTTATGCATACATCTCTATTGCTTAACATGATTAATTATTAGTACAATTTTGACATAAACAACCAATAGGAATAAGTATTTATCTTTGTTATTTATAACGTGATAGGGACATTTGGGTACCTCGATATCATCGATTAGGTGTTTGGTGTTTGATAGTGCATTAAATAGTCTGTTTTATCTTCATTTATTAACGAACCAATCTCCTTAATATTTTCAAAAACCAAATTGCTGTAGTATCGTGTAAAACAGTTCTAATAAACTTCGAGAGCCCACAAAACAAATCTGTCTAGCTAGTCATATTACGATATTATGAGTACATTCAAATTCACAATAAAACATCAATTTGCTACGATATTACGAAGTAATTTTTTCTTCTATATACTTATGTTTACTCGTAACGTTACAGTTGAATTTATACGTAATTACTACACAAGTGAATTAAAAAATGGGGTCCTATCAACTTGTTCCGACCTAGGATAATAATCTCATTAGCTTGGTCTTACTTTACCGTTGAGAAACGATCCTGAAATAATAAAAGAATTGAAGAAATATGTAATACTTAGCCTTGATATGAAGACGAAATAGCAGAAATAGTAACTCCGGAAGCGAGGCCTCCGGGCGCAACAAAAATGAAACCAAAAAGTAAGAAGATAAAATTGCATAGAGCTTTGAATAGATTATGGCATAAGTTTTCCAGAAAAAGCTTTCTCTTACAATGATAACAGAGCTCACTATTTATAGCTATACCATGGGAACAAGGTCCTGTTGTTATTATGCCTGTATTTGTAAATAATGATTCTGGAAATTAGAACGTTAGCTTATAAACGTAAATATAAGTAAAACAGAAATTAATTCGAGCCCACTGAATTCACAGTGTTTCCTTAAGGAATTTAATCCCCTCCTAGTACCCAAGGTTATGGATTATTTCCTCCCAGGATAGAACGAATTACACACTGGTGTAGCGGTACTTCAAACCCCAGTGTTTCAGCGAATACAAAATTCGGCAGCAAATCACACTTACGGATGCTTTGTTTGTAGTTTTAAAATAATGCAGAACAAGGGGAAAACTCGGAAGTCGAATGGAAATTCTGAGAGGAAGGAATGCAAATTATAGCCAACGTTGAGTTTTCGGTGAAGAGAAGATCAATAGCTCTCAATTCTGTTGTGGTGTGTGATTCTCCAACTGCTGCTGCTCATATTTATAGCAGTCAGTTGTGAGACCTGCCCCCTTTCCATGGTGGAGCATGCACTAGCTTGTTATAGAGCAAGCACTTAGCCATGGTGGGAGGAGCACTAGGCGGCTGCTATTGTAACTGGTGGTACAATACACGGATTGGAACATATATGTTACAAACACGGATAATATTACGTTAATATTTACTATTAACAAATAAATTTGGTCCAAAAAATTAATCAATCATTTGACCAAATCTAAATCCAAATCCGAAGCCGGACCCGAAGCCGTAGCCGAAGCCGAGCCGAGCCGAGCGAGCGACGACGACGGTGTGAGGCTTGCCTTCTTCCTAACTCTTTAATAGCTACATGAAGTGCATTTGTATATAAACCCATCAAACTCCTTTTTCTCTACCAATGAGGGACAATGTCTCATTAAAAGGAGAGGGAAACTTAAAATTTTACTCAAAATTTTCATTTCCCTCCATTTCCAATTCACCCTCTTTTTAATATCTTTCCATATTAAAAAGAAACTCAACAATCTCCCACATGAATGGGGAATGGCTATATCACGGAAGTATGCATGAAAAACTTGTGTGATTTGCAAGCAAGGATTAATTGCATCTGGATAAGTAGGTTTCCCTTTGAACTTTCCGTAGTGAACTTATGTCGGATATACTCGGTCAATCGGTAGATTTGATATCTTTGAACCGTCGAACTTTAGTGTATAC